AGAGTTTTGCTTGAGCCCAGGAGTTCAAGACCAGCATGGGCAACAGAGGAAAACCTCATGTCTTAAAAAAAATTTAAAAATGAACCAGGCATGGTGGTGCTGCCTGTAGTCCCAGCTTCTCGAGATGCTGAGGTTGAAGGATTGTCTGAGTCCAGGAGATCAAGGCTGCTGTGAGCTGCGATCTTTGTGATCGTGTTACTGCACTCCAGCCTGGGCGACAGAGTGAGACCAGTGGGTGAGATAATCCTAGACCTATTAGCAACTGGTGAGTCCAGCCTACTTGTTATTCTGAATAATAATGAAAGAATTCAGGAAGAGACTTTATAGCTAATTAATAGAGATGAGTCAGCCTTCACTTAGTCAATGGAAACATTTATAAATCTGGGCTCATACCTCACAGATTCCTTCACTTGTTAATTAGGTATTCGCTCTTGTAGATTGTGTGTTTGATGTCCTGCTGCTTAGTTATGATTTAATAAGTCAAAGAACTGCTTAAGCATCCTTTTGGAATCTATTATAAAGTTTCAATAGAAGACATTCACTTATTAAATTCCTTTGTAAATTGAATATTAGGGGACAGTGTTGCTGTAGTTAGTCTTGTGTTTCATCAGGCAGGAGCACAAAAATGTGTTACCTGTCATTTAGCTCTATCTGTATCTAGGTGACTTCAGAGCCTAACCAGTATTTAACGCTTTGTACTCGGAGACATCTCGCGGATCACAACTACCAGCAGTTCCACTGCACTTATGAAATAGTGAAAAACGAATCACTTCATATTAAATAGTATAACATTGGAACCAATTATTGTATTGTAATGATATTTGACTTATAACAGAATTTTGAACAGTGAGGAACTTGTTTATGACCAAAAAAATCAAAATTTTGTATCTTATATTTTTATAACGTGGTAACATGTGAAACGGTCACTGATATGCATTACAGGTTCAGTAATACATGTTTTGCAGTAGTAATTTGTTGGACCTCTTCTGCCTGGTGGTTTTCTATTTGAGCAGACAATACGGTCTCGTTTCTTCTTCCCACATTAATAATATGTAATTTATTGTCCAGTCTGTTGTTTGAAGACAGTGTGGTAGGACAGACTCATGACTCCTGAAAACCACTTCTCAACTGATCGAGCAGAAGCTTGACAAATTCCAAATGGGACATAGGTTTTTCTTTTTTTTTTTTTTTTGATGCTATACTACATTAGAGTTACCATCATGTGTTTCTAGTCCCCAGAAGAATAATCTCCACCATTTTAAAGATTTTTGCAAAAAACAATATCAGAAGCATATTGATCTGCATCATCCACATCACTCATATTTGCAATATAATCGAGAATCATTTCAGGCTTTTTGACCGATACACTATTTCTACCATGTTGTAATGTCCTTGTGGTAAATTTCATCCCTATATGATTCCAAGTGCTGAGAATTGTAACAGTCCTTTTGTCCTTCCACACAAGAAGCATAAGATTATTTTTCTTGGATGCTACCTTTTTTTTATTTTTTTGAGTTGGAATCTTCCACTCTGTCGCCTGGCTAGAGTGCAGTGACACACTCACAGTCACTGCAACCTCAGCCTGCTGGGCTCAGGTGATCCTTCCACCTCAGCTTTCCAAGTAGCCAGAAGTACAGGCACGTGCCACCCCACCCAGCTAATTTTTTTATTTATTGTAGAGATGAGGTCTCGCCAAGTTGCCCAGGCTAATCTCGAACCCC